AAAAGCAAGCAACAGTAACAATATCAATCTTCAGTAACAAGGCAAGGGCAACAATTTAATAAAGCAAAACAACAGTAACAAAGCCAAGCAACAGTAACAAGGAAAGCAACATTAATAAAGCAAAGCAACAGTAATAAGGCAAAGCAACATTAAACAAGGTAACAGTAAGCAAAGCAACAGTAACAAGGCAAAAAGCAACATTAACAAGGCAAAGCAACGGTAATAAGAGCTTGCAACAGCAACAGTAAGTACTACCAAGGCAACAGTAACAAGGCAAAGCAACATTAACAAGGCAAAGCAACAGTAATAAAGCAAAGCAACAGTAACAAGGCAAGGCAACAGTAACAAGGCAAAGCAACATTAACAAGGCAAAGCAACAGTAATAAGGCAAAGCAACATTAACAAGGCAAGGCAACAGTAACAAGGCAAGGCAACAGTAACAAGGCAAGGCAACAGTAACAAGGCAAAGCAACATTAACAAGGCAAAGCAACAGTAATAAAGCAAAGCAACAGTAACAAGGCAAAAGGCAACAGTAACAAGGCAAAAACAACATTAACAAGGCAAAGCAACGGTAATAAAGGCAAAGCAAAGCAACATTAACAAGGCAAGGCAACAGTAATGAAGCAAAGCAACAGTAACAAGGCAAGGCAACAGTAACAAGGCAAAGCAACAGTAATAAGGCAAAGCAACATTAACAAGGCAAGGCAACAGTAATGAAGCAAAGCAACAGTAACAAGGCAAGGCAACAGTAACAAGGCAAAGCAACATTAACAAGGCAAAGCAACAGTAATAAGGCAAAGCAACATTAACAAGGCAAGGCAACAGTAATGAAGCAAAGCAACAGTAACAAGGCAAAGCAACAGTAATAAAGCAACAGTAACAAGGCAAGGCAACAGTAACAAGGCAAAGCAACAGTAACAAGGCAAAGCAACAGTAATAAAGCAAAGCAACAGTAACAAGGCAAGGCAACAGTAACAAGGCAAAGCAACAGTAATAAGGCAAAAAGTTCACAAACTAAGAATGATGTTAATGTTGTAGTAAACCCTCCTACAGTAGAATGAAATCTTCCTCCTCTCATAAATACTAAATTTGAGACTTCCTAGGGCAGTCATTGAGCAGCTGAGATGCAGTGTAACCTGATTGTTCGGACGGACACTTCTATCTGCTTATTACTAACACTTTTACTTTGTATATATCTGTTATTTCAATACACTTGTTCAGCCTACCTTCATCTTCTATGTCATTCTTTTCTGGCCCCTAAACAGGCCACAAAAGTTAACACAAAAAGGAAACAATCGCAGCATTTTGGCTTTGAGACAAGAAAGACCTGAACTGAGTTGGATGAGACCAAGAAATGGCCAAATCTTATTGGTTAGGAAAAAAAATCCCAGCATGCATTTGTGTGTTTTGCCTATAAATTGGGGACGAGAATTATTTTGCAGTCATTCCAACATAGATTGGAACCAACACTCATTTTGTTGTCAGCAACCACTCACATCTGAGTATCGGGATCGTCATCCTCTCTTCCTGTTCCATTTCTCTCCCCTGGTGGCATTGGTGGAGATAACTGTGAATCAAAGAGAGTTTGGCAAAGCCATTCATGTAAATTTGATTTTGGTGGACAACTCTGCATGATGGAGAAAACCACATATTTGGCCAAAAGCATCCAACAACCTGATGAATCCAGGTTTGCCAGATCTTGCCTGTCTGAATCTCAGGCTGTTGAATGCTTGTCAAGGTTCACCTTGGTTATGCCAGTCCAACTGGCACTACCATCTTCCACCAGTTTGGCCATTGAGATCATGTAGATCTTTGCCAATTCAGTCATTAGGGTCTTTGGGGGTTGGTTGTGTTCAGCCTGGTCCTTCCTCTTCCCACCATCGATGGTCCTACAGGTGTTGGAACTCCAGACAGCTTCACTCTTAGGATCACTGGGACAAATAAATCCTCTACTATGATAAAGAATGACCATATATATTTTACACACATTTCTTTTATTTTTATGTGCCATGTCCTTTCAGGATGTAAGCAATCATGGCTATCCACCTCCCTCTCTCCCTTGCAGCTCTCAACAACTTCCTTCCCTCTGCTTCCTCCCCCAGACCATGTTCTGTCATCCACCTGCTCAAGCTTGCCAGGTATGTTACGCACTGCTTTCCCTTGTCTCTCTTTCCCTCTATTCGACCCATGAGTATCAGATTCTCCAGGCCTTCCTTCCTTCATTATATGTCCCAGAAATTTCAGTTGCTTCCTCCTGATGTTAAGTACAAGCCTTCTCCTTGTTTGCAACCTCTCTAAGACTTCATCTAGGTATGTTATTAAAGTAAAAAAAGCTTTTGATATATTCTATTTCCACAACTTGGACTGGAAATTTTTAGTAACTCTAGCTTCACTTGTGTCACAGCTGTTCATTTGAAGACAAAAAAATTTGGCCACATTCTGACTCAGCCTAGATGCAACCAGAGATCAGGTAAGCTGGGAACAGGTCATAATTTGAATTGATTTCCAAACTGGGAACATTTGCTTTATAAGAATTTTATTGTGCTAAATCACATAACAGATAATCAGATAGACTCTCATGATTATCTCTCATATGATAAACAGCTGGGGACTTCAGTGAAACAACAGAAAATAAAATTATAAAATGTAAAAATGACTATATTAGAGGTAAACAATGTGTATGGAAGCACCAATCACCAAAATGAACCTTTTCTGCCTGCAAAACTCTAGGAGAGCAATACTCTTCACTTTCTTTGGTTCATGTTTCCCACTGACATGAAATTGGGTGACTACATTGGGTTGATCACTATGTCTACTTCGAGGAAGGTCGGTTCACTATATTGTGCCAGAAAATTATTCTCATCAGAATCCATCTTGCGCATTTATAAATCTACCATTCATCCATACATGGAATACTGTTACCATATGTTACTCCTGTTGTACATCTCATGATTCTTGACAACATCCAAAGAAGGATCTGTAATGTAATTGATTCTGACCAGGCATCTTGACTTCAGTCACTTTCGCACCAATGTGACATGGGTTCCCTCTGTCTTTTCTACAAATATTTTCATGGCAACTGCTCTGATGAACTTTTTTCCTTGCTACCCTAACTACATGAATTTAAGCGTGCTACTAGACTGGAAACTAAGTCTTACCATTTTAATGTTGAACTAGCTAGATGCATCCACCACTTCTAATCTAACAATTTCTTTTCTTGCACTGTGGAAACCCCCTTCCAATTTCATGCTAGTGTCATTGTCGCATTGCTTGGGGTGAAATGGTTAAAAAAAATAAAATCTATCTGAAGTAGTCATATATTGAAGTTACTTTCAGGTTGATATAATAAATGAATTTTGATGTTTTCAATAAATAAGATACAACATATAACAATTCCTGGAATGGCCCTGTGAAAGTGGAATTTGCTTACTTAGTCACTATTGGCTTCTGTCAGCTTTGAGGTATCCCTCTTATCAAGCTTAGCACTTTGTGAGATGATGGTGTCATTGCTGAAAATATTCTTGGATCTTGTTTTCTGGAATATCTTTCCGTAATTTAGCAACTGGTCTTCATCATTCTATGAACTGATGTTACTCACTGCCTATCACATGACCCTTATGAATTCATCTTTTCCAAAGAAAGATAATAGGTTTATAATACCCAGAAATTCAAACAGAGATGTCCTCAAGGCACGTTGGATAAAGACATTAGTTAGATCCAGTGACAGGACCCAAAGAGTGTGAGTTCAATACCTGGTTAAGGCGGTGGAGAACTTGGAGAGGGGAATTAACAGGAGATAACTAATAACTGACATCCATTAAACATGGCACATGGAACTAGAACAGTCTACCCCAGTGAGCAAAATAAAGGATTCAGTTCAACATTCCAACCACCTGAAGAAGGCCGGAGTGTACAACGGCCGAAATGTAATAAATATGGCAACAAAGATGAGGACAATAGTCTGAATAATGTAAATAGTAAAGATAATTGCTTTTGTATCCTTATAAGGAAATTTTTCTATTTTGGAAATCACCAAAAATCACAAGGAGCTAAATTTACTGAATAAGGTGGATGGTCCATTTTTGCCATGGATTTCTTAGCTGCAAACTCCTAAGACATCACAGCCGATTGTTCATTTTTGCAATGATTTGTTAGCTGGGAACTCACACATCATATGAAGAAGCACTGTCATGGTGGAGAATCCACTTGTTAACCATCTTGTCATTATACTAAGAATTTGTAGTAAATTATCCCCTTATGATCAAAGAACCATGCAAACATGACCTTGAACTGTGAGCAAGATATATGCTTTTTCAGTCATAGTGAATTTCTATTCTATTTAATCTAGCATTTTGTTTTTGTCACCTTGTCAAACATCTCTGCATTATTCAAAAGATCAGATGAAAATTTGAAGCTGATAATGTTTCTGCCTATTAATCAACATTCAAAGTACCATCTTTGAGGAAATTTTTCTCGTTCCTAAATCCTCTTTTAGAATCTTACAGTTTCCTTATTTATATTCAGTTTTTCTGATATCATTCACAAAACTTAATCTTCGATCTGAGTGCACCAAGGTTTTCACTCTGTCCAAATTAGCATCTGTTCTTTGTGTTCTTGGTTACTCCTTGCATGATCCTGCTCATTTTCTCACCTTTTTTCAAACCAAAAAACTCAAAAACACTCAATTTTGTTCATAGCATGTTCCCTATAAACCATTTTTAATTGGGCTAACATTACACTTGAACTTTTAATAATTTTCATGCAGAACTTGGTTTTAATCCACTGCTCCAGATTCATTTTACTCATCTTCCATCAACATTTATCATGAACACATACAACTTCCTTCACTGCTTGGCAACTAATGACTAATTTGGCCTGCATCTCAAGAAAGTAGGTGTTTGAACATGTCCAAACATGTTAGTGTACAAATATGAACTTCTAATACACCATTTTTTTCCCAAAATCATCTGTTAGAATATTTCACATTGTCTTGAGCTTACAACCATATCACATTCAATCACTGGTACTCATATGATCACCAAAGTTAAGCAATGTCAAGCCTGGTCAGTACCTAGATGGGTGACCACTTGTGAATACCAAGTGCTATAATCTTTGATGTGCAAGTAGTATAAGAGATAATGGCTTGGAATTGGAAATTAGAGAGCTGAGTTCCAATTCTGGTCAGGTTCATTATATTCATTTACATGCTAATGCCCTTTGAAAAGAAAGGTATGAATTCGCCTTTTGTCCACTCCAGTTATGAGTTAATTAATAGGTTAATCTGTAAATCATTATTTCTTAAAAACAACTTCTTACAATGTAAAATACTTTTTGGCTTTAAATAACCTGTAAAAGGTTGATAAGCTGTAAGAAACAAATCAATGATTCAATCCACACTGTTTCCTTGTTTATATTCCGTTCTTTTGCTATCAGTCATGAACTTAATTTTTGATCTAAGTGCTCCAAGGTTCACACTCTGTCCACATTCTTTGTTCTTTGTGTTTTTTAGCTGCTTACTTATTGTGTTATTGTGCACATTTTCTTGTACTTTTTACAGTATGTCTGTCTTTTTCAAGTTATGCTTAAAAACTGCATACAAGTATTAAAAGTATTAAAAATACAAAAAAGACAAAGATTTCTATTTTTTATACTTATATACAAGAAGAAAGACATAACGTTGAAATATTGTTAAACTTTGTTGTGTTCTTTTTTTTCTTTTCTTAAATCATACTCTTCTCTAAGTGTTGTATTATTATTATTGGCCATATTTAAATGCAATTGGTAGAAATGCCTAACAAACAGAATTGACAAAGTTTGCAATAAATAATAAAGAAAAAGAACAGGTTAAAAATAAATCTAAGCAAACAATATATACAAGATAAAAGTCAGCAAAGCAACAGTAGTGAGGTTAAAACGTTCCCAAACCTAGAATAGTGTTAACACACAAAAGGGGATACAGACAAGTGATCGCAGCATTCTGAATTCAAGACAAGAATATAGCAGATGAGACTGAGAAGTGGTCTGTCTTATTGTCTGAGAAGAAATCCTAGCATGCATTTGTATGATTTCTCTATAAATTTGGGGAGGAGGATGTTTTTGCAGTCATTCCTGCAGTGATTAGAACCACCAATTATTATTATTTTATTTCCCTTGATTTCTGGTGTGTACATATTTCTTTCCAGGTCCCACCCAGAGACCTAAGGTTAGAAATGTCATCATGACATTTTCCACTGACAAAAAAAAACAAACATATTTTACATAGATAAAGCCCTTCATAAGGTGTGGACTGTACTCATGAGAACAATTTTTTGTATTTCTTTAAGACATGGGCTTCCAGGAATCCCTTCAATTAGTCTACTGGAATCTTTTCCAACCTATCCAAGGGCTCCAACTACAATAGGAATTGTTGATGTTCCCATGTGCCACATACCTGTAGTGATTAGAACTACCAATTATTATTATTATTATTATTATTATTACATAAAATTAGAGTGTATGTATTTTTTTTATTTTTATGTATTTGTTTGAAAAAACCCTTCTGTGGTAATGTAGTAATAAAAAAGCACATCTCATTTCCCCTCTCACTTGTAACCAACCACTATAATAAAATAAATGTTTTCAGCACTAAAGCTGAATCAGTAAAATAATGCTTCATAAGCTTCTACTTAGAGTTGTGGCCATATTACAACTACTCATGATAATTTCCAATACATTTTTATAATAAAATAGTTTGCAATGGATTTGCATATAAAATTAACTCTCAATTAATTTCTCTAAATAACTATCATATTTTCTGTCATTTCATGTAATCATTTGGGCACCTTGATATGGTGTAATGCTTATCAAACTTGTCTTGCAATTACAGCTGAGTGTTGAGTTTGATCCTCACTGGGTGCTCCATATTTTCGGCCTTGTGTCACATCTAAGCTGTGCTTAGAAAATCACCACTATATATGTAATCATTAAGGTATGTGAAAGGTATTTTTATGCATTTGTCTAATAAGTCCTGTATCTTAGGTAACATCAACTGTTTTTATAAAATGTTTTAAAATTCTTATTGTAACCAAGAAATGACTCAAAGAACTCATTTTTTTTTAAGTCCAGGTACCATAAACTTTTTTCCTACAATATGATTGGATATCTTCATAGCCAATAAAAACTGTTAAAAGCCAGAAATGTTTAAAATGAAGAGAGTGTACCAGGTTGTTGAAAAGTGCCAATATCAATTTGTTGTTATATCATAAAACTAACAAACCAATATGGAAGAAAACTTCTGAATAATATTTAAATTTTCAATTCCAAAGTTAAATTTTGTCTGGTTTATGATGTTAGCTTGTGAGATGAACACATCACAAACTGGCATTCTTTTGAGAAAAAAGAAAAATGCAGATAAAATCATGATGAGAAACAATAATTCCAAAAATTGTGAATGTATCCAAACAGAATTTCCTTTTAATTTTTGGTTAAGCATATTCTTTATTTTTATTTTATTACTAGTTTTATTCCATCTTATTTTTGTTGCTTTTTATTCCAACACTCTGACTCTACACTCTTCATTATTGCAATTATTTTATTACTAGTTTTATTCCATCTCATTATTGTTGTTTTTTTATCCCAACACTCTAGCTCTATACACTCTTCATTAGTACTGTAACATGTAGACTGCTACGTCACGCAGTGTGTAACCCAATGTCCGGGTGTTGTTCACCCATATTTATATTCTTTTACATTCACCGGGTTTTCATCTGGTGAGCTATTTTCATTGGTCCCGTCTCTTTGGTCGTTCTCTTCTCTCTACATGTCCCCCTCCCTCCTGTGACCACACGGCCTAGGAGTTGTGGTCACTTGACGGGACGGATAATCGTGTGTCGGACCCTGCATTTGTGGAGACAATGATCTAGGCAGCCTTGATATTCTTGTGCTCTGTCGTAGATCTTGAGTCACAGGTGGTGGGGTGTGTTTGGTTGCAAGCTGACATTCATCCACTTCCATGTGGTCCTCGATCCCTTTGTTGCCTTCTGCTTCTTCTATTTCCATACTTTCTGGTATCGTGTGTGGTAATTCTTCATTATCTGGTGGGCTTTGCTGATGTGGTTGTGGTGTTTGGTATTCTGGTCCCTCTACCATCGATACTATTCTTCGGAGGAATTACGAATATGCAGTGTAACCCGGTTGCTACCATCTATGCGAACTCAGTACTGTCGATTGCCCAATTCTTCCACCACTTTTCCTGTTTTCATCCATTGCCATGGATATGGCCCATCCTGATTCTGAATTTGTACTTGTTCACCAACCCAGAGTTCTTGGAGTGGGCGACTATATATGTTGTAATGTTCTTAGTTTCGCAAGTGTTTCTTTAACATTGCTTTTTCTCTCACTTCCTTGATCTCTTTCCAACACCTATGTATTTTGTACTTCTTACGAAGTATGGGGAGGTGGTCTTTTATCACCCATCCATATAACATTTCTGCTGGTGATATACCAGTGTCTTGATTAGGTGTGTTTCGAAGTGTTAACATGGCTCGCGCCGCACAATCCTGGCATAAGCGACCATATCCATCAGTGCAGTCCATCAAAGTCCGTTTGGCCGTCTTTACAGCCAGTTCTGCCCGGCTATTACTTTGAGGGTAATGGGCTGATGATATGCGTTTCTTTATACCCCAGTCCTTCAAAAATGAATTGTATTCCTGAGAATCAAATGGGGGTCCTCCATCTGAAGATATCTTTTCTGGTGCACCATATGTGCAAAACCAATTACGTAGGGCATCGCATATTGTCTCTGCCAGAACTCAATAAGGCTACCTTGATCCAACCTGTGTATCTATCAGCATATACTATATAATTCCTTCCATGAAGATCGAAGAGGTCTGTGACTGTTTTCTGGAATGGGAATTCTGGGTTTGAGGGTGACATCAGGGGTTCCTTCGTCTGAGATAGGGCAATTGTATTACACTATCAACACTGGGCCCTTGTCTGATGGATACAGTCATCTAATCTGGGCCAAAACAACCGCTGTCATGCATTTACCATCATTCTGTTAACACCCTGGTGTGCAGAGTGGAGAGCCTCTAGTATCTTCACACGAAGCTGCTTTGGGATGAGGATTTTGTTCTCCTTTATGGGCACATTATCAAGACAATATAATTGGTTCCTCATCAGCCAAAATTGCCGAATATGTGCTGGCAATTCATGGCATGAATCAGGAAACCCTTTCAGCTAATGTGCGACATTCCTCGTCATTGGCTGCAGCAGCCACAATCCTGTCCCACGTTATTGCTCTCATTTTAGGGTTGTGTGTATATGAGCATATAACTGATGCTTGCATTGCACCGTCAATGTTCTGTGTGGTTTTTATGTGTCTCGGTGATACAGGATATCTAGATGTACAGTCAGGTGCTGCATTGAGTTTTCCTGGGACGTATTTAATGTGAAATCTATATATCAATGATCGTTCCTTGAATGAAAAAAAGCAAGGGTTCTTTGTTTTCTAAGACCTGGTCTGAAAATATTTTTACTAGTGGTTTGTGGTCCACCGTTACCAGAAGGTCTGAGCACCCCAATATGAACATTCTGCAAGACTCCAACCCATATATAAGAGCTAAAGCTTCTTCCACGGGCGAATAACGGGATTCTGCCTCTGTTATGAATCGTGATCCAGCCAGGATTACTTTCCAGTGGCTATTGCCACAGATGTATAGTCTATTAGTAATAATATTTTAAAATTGTAGTTCAATATGACGTATTCATATACAAAGAACTGTTTTAGAAAAAATCTTTATGTATATAAGTGCAAATTTAACAGTCAAAATATTGCAGGTAATTTTTTTTTCTTTTAAATGTTTGTCAGTAATATAATTTATTTTCAAAAAGGTAATGTTGATAATATTTATTTTTATCAAAAATGTATTGATGGTAATATTTTATCTTTTTTGAAAACATATTGCTGGTAATTTTTTTTTTTCAAAAATGTATTGCTGTTAATTTTTTTTAATGTATTTCTGGTAATATCTTTCTTAAAATATGCATTGCTTGAAATATTTTTTTCCAAAAATGTATCGCTGATAAAAATTTCTTTTTCAAAAATATATTGCTGGTAATATTTTTTCT